AATTTGAGATCTTTCCACGTTACATAAAAACCTAAAATTAACCAATAGCAGCTAAGTTATACTTATGCGCCTTCCTAGTTTAAATAAATATTAACTGCACAGTCTCTCTCTCTTTCGCCTGCTTGCTTATAGCGCGTCGCTCAGTCTCTGCAAGCTATTCGCCATTATTTAAATTGTAATTGCAATCTAAATTTTTGGAGCGCGTCTACCAGCCCTAGTCTTCTATCAGTTGTGAAGATATGTGTTAAAATATTTGTCATTCAAAAATAAATGACGTTTAACTATCAAGCTTCTTCTAAAATTCCATCGGATTATTCCACTATGACGCAATTAGCATTCATCTACGCAGCAGTATTTTTGGTCATGACTTAGAACGTGAACTATTTTTATCTCTCGCCAAAAGTACAACATTACATATATATGATTCTACTAAATTTATATTAGGAGATAATATAATTAATATTTCTTTAGTAAATAAATTATCAAAAGATATATATGTATATGTAATAAAAAAGAGGAAAAACGTAGCAGCAATGTTGTTTGGTGTAGAACGTAGATCAATATTGAAAAGGAAGAACTCTGATTGCATAGAATGCTAAACCATAATGAATAGAAGCCTTGACAGTCGAGGCAGATTAAATTTTTATTAATTTTTAGGCATTTTATTAAAATTTATACATTTTATTAAATACTTTTATTTAAATTCACCTTTGAAGCCACACTTCACATGGCACTCTCTCTAATCGTGCCTAGTTTCAGAACATTTACATTTTTGGATACTATTCCGAAAGGAACATAGCACAGCAAAATGACGTCCAAGCAGCAACAGAGATACAAGCGAAGTACTTTTATTCTATATGGCAGCTCACCAAATAACGACGATTTTAGTTTAGGTTAGAAAGGTTTCAGTTTTCAGAGTTTATGTTCCGAAATAACTACATCATGAGGTTTACGCAAGCTCTAGCATAGATTAATCTAGAAATGATGCAGTCCAAAATTGTTATTATTATTTTTAGAATAAAGAGGAAATACTCAGATTAAGAATGAGGAATTAAGAGGCTAATATTAAATTAAAATATAAAGTTGATTTGCATATTTTTATCTTATATATATATACCTTTTGAACATCATCTGTTTAGAACATTGTGTATATATTTATAAGTGTAATAATGCAGGATAGCTGATTGCGAAGATGTTGATTTATAATGAAGAGCAAACTCGACAGCCGAGGCAGATTAAACATTCATTTTACATCAACTGACATCTGTGTCCACAATTCATTTGGCCTTCTAATCCTACCTATTGGCAGAGTTTTTTTTTTTTTTTTTTTTTTTTTTTTTTTTGCAATAAAAAGTAAACAACGCGGCAATAGAAAAGCAAAAGGCATAGGTATCCAATACGGTTGCTTATTCAGATCAAGGTTTCCGTTCTCGAAATTTGAAGTTCCGAATTAGATATATTGTCATCGTTATGTAAAAGTCACGTGATAGATTAATCTAGAAATAACCCAATTCAGAAAATGTTATGAATATTGCTACGAAATGTACAGGCATGGTAAGATAGCTTCCCCCCCAAAGCAGTTTTAGGGTTGCCATAAAATGGCAAGGGAAGGCAGGGTTGCCACATTTGGCGAGAAATCGCCCATGTGGTGACAAAATTGGCGATATACCATGCACGGATGGAGAACCTTCTGGAACGAGTTCTTACCAGTTTAGCCTAGAATGTTCTCGAACACAAGCCGAAAGCTATATAAACCCTGCTGGTCCCCAGTCAGTTAGTATGTCTCAGAGAGTGTGCCTCGTCTAGTGAGCCGTGCGGAGTCGATCGAGTTGACAGGCGGTCAGCGAGTGCCGAGTGGGTCGTCGAGTGTACCGAAAGAGTCTCGCGGTATCGCGGTTAATGCATCTTCGTGAGAGGTTAGCTCCGGAACGCTGAACCGAAGTCGGGGCTGTGCTCGTGTCGTCGAGTGCATCGCGATGTACGTAGAGTCTCGAGAGGCGTGGATTCCGAGAACGCCAAGGTCGGGGCTGTACTAAAGCAAGTCGGGATAGTTGATATAGTTGATAGTTGACGGGGGACGTGTGCACCATCCCTTTACCGTAATGGTTAATTGGCATATGCAACACGTCCACCTCTATCTTGAGCCAGATGGGCCACACAGGCGCCTCGCACCATACACCGAAACCCAGCGACCAGGCCATCCAGGTGGGCAGTCCAAAAGACCAAAGAAGCCCCCAGAAGCATGTTCACACCAACCGCCCGGGCCTAGTATTTATTGAGTCAAAGTTCAACAAATACATGGCCAGACAAGGGCTCAAAAAAAAAAAATAAATAAATAGATAAATAAAGGGTACATTTGAAGTTTTGACAAAGCATAAGATTACAAAGGTGCAAGTGCCAGTTTTGAATAAATACTAGAATCACATAGACATAATTAGAACAAAACACATACAGATAGCGATAACAATAGAAAACCAAAGGAGTAAACACCATTACAAAACTACTACTGCTACATACTACAATACTACAAAACTACTACTAGAATACTTACAAACAGTACTACAAACTGATACAATGCTAAATATTACAAAACTGCTACTGCTGCTACATACTAGGCTGATAATAATGCTGATAGTATGATATCGATGATGTAATGATCTTAATACTGATGGTAAGTTCAATACAATAGTTAGTGTACAAAGCAAGGATACAATACATAAATACATTATGCAACTATATAAATACCAATGCAAGGTAAAGAGGATACATTATACAACTATATATACACGCATACACACATATATACATACATACACATATACAGATATATACCAATACAAGGTAAAACGATACTAATGATTCTGTACGAGATGCAAGACAAGATAGATAATTCAATATAAGATCAATAAGCCATATTGTTCAATACAATAGTTAATGCAAAGTTAATAAAACACTATTTATATTACTATACCAACTGTATATTTCCTATATTAGTGCAATTTTATACGACGCATATCTATACGATGCTCACAATTTAATATATATTACACAGTACTGTATTGCAGGGAACTTATAATTCAATTTTATACAAGATGATACATATCTATACTATGCTCACAATTTAATGTATATATTATATAATACAGTATACAGTACAATATGATTTACAACTAATACGTAAGATAATGGATGCTATATCATTCAATTACAAAAGTTAATGCAAAATTAATGATACATTATTTATATTACGATACCAACTACACATTTCCTGTATTGCAGGGGACTTATAGTGCAATTTTATTATGTATACGATGCTCACAACATTGCAATTTCATATAAGATGATACATATCCATACGAAGCTCACAATTTAATATATATATTATACAATACGGTTATACGATATAATATAATGTACTGCAAATACGTAAGATATGTGATACAATAGGTAAATTAACATGCTTACAGGGTTAGTATACAAGACACAACAATAGGTACAATACAATACTAAGAGTAAATAAATAGAGTATGTGACAGTATATAGACAAATGCAATGTAGAAAAATACATATTGTCAAGTAATTGGTAATAATTCTATGCAATATGCAATACAAGACATATGATACAGTATAAAATCGATAAGCTACGTCTATGATACTATTTATAATTTAATGGAATATTTAAAGCAAAAAGAGACCAAAATACTACTTTAACTTTCATACAGTATTTTAACACAATTGCTAGTTCAGTAAAATAATTAATACAATATTTAATTCAGTACGTATCTCAGGGTATAAAAAGAAGTGCAATATATATATTCTTAATAGTATGATGCCTATAAGGCAATGTTCTTAATAACTAAAGCGAATTAAATGCAATACTTTGTATACAATACACAAGAGCAACACTTCAGTACAATACTGAGGATAAAAAGACATATTTTGCAACAGTATAATATACAAATGCAATGTATAAAAATACCTATGATCAATTCAATATTATTAATTCTGTGCAATATGCGATACAATGCAACAATATAGTTATACCAATATAATGTATAAAAAATACTTATGATCAATTCAATATTAATAATTCTGTGTGCAATATGCAATACACGACATATAATTCAATATAATCAATAAACTAAATCTAAAATCTAAAGTCTAAAATTCTGCATGTAATTCAATAAAATAGTTAATGCCAAGTTGAATCAAGACTACTTATAACGTTATGCTAATAATCCAGCTAATAATCCAGTTTCTGTATTGCAAAGAATTTAATTTACAGTTCCATACTAAAGCATACATAGCGATACGATGTTCATAATTTCAATATGTTGCATCACATATTCTTAGGGTAGAGCTTATAACTCAACATAATATTACATAACTACAACTTAATACAATAATTAATGCAAGAATTAAAATAATAAGTAAATTAAGTTAATAGACTAGTTAGAATATAATGCAGTACTTAGAGTGCAAATATTGTATATTGTAATTATAATGAAATATGATACAATGCTAATAGTTTGATACAATAGTTATTACAATGCTCGATACAATATTTTTGATATATAACCAGATTAGAATACTTAATATGTAGCTTGTAATTCAGTAAGATAGTAATACCATATCTATAGTTTGAGGTTGCGAGTATAATACTTATTGTGCAATATCTTATAGTGCATTTAAAATACAATACAATTTTTAATAATATTTGTAACAATACTGGGACTATTAAAAAAAGAAAGAATATAGTTATAATATGTAAATAGACAAGAATGCAACTGGAGTGTACAAAAATACAATTGTATTATGAAAACACTATGTAAACAGACAAGAATGCAACTGGAGTGTACAAGAATACAGTTGTATTATGAAAACAGGACAAAACCATTAACATTAGACAACCTGACATAGATCAGATCCATAACTGTGGAGAATGTCCATAATTTTTGAGAGTTTTCTGATAAGGTACTTCTGCTTAATTAAAAATTTACTAAATGCTAGTTGATTATCCACAGGGAAAGGAATGTGAAATTCCTCCGTTAACGGGCATGTAGTAATATAATGTTCAGGTATGCCTAGAGTTCCGCAGACACAATATTCACTATTTGCAATTCCATGCTTGTAAAAGTAGCTTGGAAATGGACCATGCCCCGAGATATATCTTACTAGTTGATGATTTGTTATCTGACGACATTGATCCACATACGTAATATGATTGTACGTTCGTCGACCGGTTTCATCAGTATCCCATTCTAGTTGCCATTGGGATATAACTTTTAAAAGAAGAGCTCGTTTTAAGTGAGATGTTGGCCACTTAAGAATCACTTCTTCAGCCTCGGCATCGGTATTTTCGGCAGCTGATTTGGCTAACTTATCTGCCAAAGTATTACCGTGATCCCCAGCATGGCCCTTAGTCCAAGCTAGCGTGATGTTATTTCCCACTTGATTACGAAGTTCACATTGGATGTCCGAGATAAGCGAAGAAGAATGTCTGGGGTTTTGAATCGCTTGAAGCGACGAAAGACTATCAGTGATAATTATTGCCTCCATAGCACCACTTGTTTTACAGTGTTGAACTGCTTTGAGGATGGCTAGGGCCTCCGCTTGAAATACACTATTATTTCCATGGAGATGACCCAGCCACTGATAAATTGACTGACCATTATGAAAGGCTACAAGGGCACAGCCTGTCTGTTGATCTATTTTAGATCCATCAGTGTAATATTGAATGCTTGGGATAGGTGGCAGTGTTACGTCGTCCTTAAGGAAAATCCGAAGTCCTGTTCCTTGAAGGACTGGATGCACATCCAAATGTTGTGAGGGTTGTTCATAGTGCAATGGTGTGAAAAGTTCATCAAATAGGATGAAAGGTTTTTTCAAAACCTTGACGGATTGTATTGCTGCTTCCTGCAGAATACGTAGATGAAGAGGGATCAGTCCCGCCATGACATTTAATGCACTGGATGAGGTAGTACGAAACGCCCTAGTTATCTGTAAGGCAAATTGACGCTGGAGACTTTGCAAGTGGCGCACTTTGCGACCCTGCATGGGTTCAGCCCATATAGCAGCCGCATAGGTGACCATTCTCTCGATAACGGTGAGATAAAGAACCTTTTGTATATAGGGACTAATTCCCCATCCACGACCCTGCATTTGACGCAATTTACATGCAATTATAACAGTTCGTCTCTTTAGTTCCAAAACATGCGGCATCCAGTTCAGTTTCTCGTCAAAGATAACGCCGAGAAAATTTGAGCTGCGGTTTGATAGGTATACGTGTACCATGAATGGTGATTCGAGGCCGTCGAACCAAAGATCCTCCTTTTTTAGGGATTAATAAAATTTGCGATTTTGGTTCGGAAATTGTTAATTTAATTCTAGAACATAAGTTATAAAAGAGATCATAGGTTTCAATAGCATTTCTTTGCAACTCTTCTCGAGTTCGTCCTTGAATGATAAAAACTGTATCATCTGCATACGCATATGCCCGGGTATGTGCTGGCCAGTTTGCGGCAATAACAGAATTAAATGTTATATTCCATAAATCAGGGCCAGCACAAGAACCCTGCGGACAGCCTCTGTTTTGTTGTCTTGTAATAATGCCATGATTAATTTATGTTTCTGGTACAGAGAGGAAAACCTCAAACTAAAATGAAAAATTAAGTGGCTATTGCTAATTTAAGTTATAATATAGTTTTATCTCATTTTTTATATTACGCATCCCCCCCTTCAAAGAGGAAAAGGTTTGAAGACGCAGAAGCTTTTTTTAAGAGATAAATAGCAGCAAATGAAAGAAAGCATAATTTGAATGTCACAAATTATTAAATTTTAACCAAAATAATAATTTAAATAATTGCAAAATATAAACTTTAATAATATTTTAGAGCCCTATTAAAATTTTCACAGCAAACTTCTTTGTGCTAGTCCACATAATCATATTTATTCAGGAAAGACTTTTCAAAATTTTTCACATAATTTCCCCAAATATAAAAATTTTATACATCCGTTATCTATTTTTTGAATGCTCACAAGAAATTTTAAAATTTCGTAAAACATTAATTTTCATATTTAAAAATGTTTTTTAACATCATAAATATAGTAATAATATTACTGAAACTATGGTTTCAATGTTACTATAATATTTCTAATTTTCTTGTTTTATACAAAACTGGAAGACGCCCATAGTTTTGTCACTCAAAAAAATTGAAAATCGAAGCCATAGTGTGCAATTCATTTTGTTTTAAATTTATGATTCTAAATAAAATCGATGATTGATTGCAAATCTGCATATTTAAAATAATTATTAAGGATTTTACTATAAGATTAATGTTAAAAGGTAATAATCTCTTTTTCACAGCTTCCAAATTACAGGTACTTGCTGCATGCATCGCATGCCTTGAGACGACGCCCCTGTTTCTAAGTTAAAAATAGTAACTTAGCCACTTAAGAAAAATCTGATGCGGACACCACATGACATCCTTGAACGACCTCTTAAATTATACATATTTTTTGCAGCATTTCATTTAAACTTATTTCCTCGAATTTCTTTAGAGATATATTTCTCATTCAATTATTTCAGTTCTCACTTCGCAGCAAGGCAAAAATATATTAAAATTTGTAAAATACAAAAAAAGACACTTTCAACAGTTAAAATTGGAGTTTCTACGCAAAACAAGCAATTCGGCCAGCGGACAAGAAGGCAAATTTTTTGGTGCGCAAAACTAAAAGTTTACCTTTGGTCCTACTCAGCACAAAGACACTGAAGATGCAGAAACTGAATTAATTCACTGTTCCAATAGGAGTTTAAAATGTAAGCAAATAACAGTTTCGTTAGGCTTAAAAACACTTAGACAACATTTAAATTGCTGATAATTCTATAACTATTGCATGTAGATTAACTAAGGCATAAAAGCACTAAACGAACACAAGAAAGCATAATTAAATCACTTTTAAAGCTAAAAATGCATAATTTACCAAAAAATAAGAATAAAAAAGTAAAAAAAGTGAGCTAATCGAGCCAGGCAACAGAGTGGGTACACTCACAGACTCGTAACAGAGGGGTATATATAAATATATACATTCATCGTTCTGAGGCTACTCGCTTTTTGAGTTATGCGAGATACATGCGTACGTACGTAGGTACAGACATTACGAAAAATTCTCTTCTAAATCCATTTTAAATCGAGTTTTCAATCTCTTTCGGGAAAGAGTCCTTTATTCTGTCCATACCTACAGATGTTACGCAGAAACATCATTTAAATGGACATTTTCGTTGAAATATGACACAAATTTTTCGAAATTACAATACTTTCTTTACTTCGAACAAGGAAGTAAAAGAGAACCACCATTTATTTGAGACGCAGCTATGAATAAAAAAAAAAAAAAAAAAAAAAAAATGCTTAAAAAAATAACATGCAACAACAGACCTATAATTTTCGACAATATCCAAATCATTTAGTTTTCATACCGGAATCTTATCTTGCAAGTGCAAGCTCGGATTCCCTCCATTATGATTATAGGAAAGATTCTTGAAATATTCAGCTAGAAAAATCCTTCCATATCGGAAATTCCAGTCCCTAAGATGCTTAATGTTGATTGATTCTTCAAATGTGCGGATGAGATGTCGAGGATAAATGCCTGGAAAGATTGTTTTTCCCTTAAGAATTAAATGAATTGCTCATATCAAGTACGATTATAATTAAATTACAAGAGATTCATTCATTTATAGCTTGTGGAAATGGTTAATCACTTGGTATAATTATGAATGTTCCCACATGATTTAAACGATTTAATATAAATTAATCGTTCAAGATGAAATTATTGGGAGCCCATTTATCGCAAGTAAATGTATAGAAATTAATTATTACATGGAAGGTTTGTAATTTTTCCTTTTTTGGGGGACAAGATCTGTAATCGGGTTTTCAGTATAAGATAAGGTTTAACCAGACGTTTTTCAGTTTTCTAATGCTACTACAAAATTTTGAAGTGACGGACGGAAATCCCTTCAGCAGCGACGCATTTATTTATGAAAACTCAAAATATTATTATTTTTTCTTTCTGATATATTACCTCAAGCATGTTACTCAGTGTCGTCAAATATCATAGTACATAGATTACAGTACTCAACTAGAAATAAAAGAATAATAGATCTTAATAGCTGTTTCTTAAACTCCTTTACTGCATTGGCTAATTTCCAAATGTTTTGTTGCAAATATTTCACTCAAATTCAATAAATGTACAAACTAGCAAATAAATAATTCTTATAGCCATCCTTCTGTCCTGGAGTAAACACCTGGTGTTATTTAGTACCCACACCTAAATTTTGTTTTCTTACAGTCTTATGATATTCATCTCTGATTTGTAGACGAAAGATCAGCTGTTCGATAACACATGATGAAATTGTAACGTCTTCAACTTCCATGGAGAGATGGCACCACAATCGTATCAGCATCACAACAAAAATAACAATAGTAACAATGGGTATGTTACGGTCTGCTAATACGCCTTCTTTTATCTTGGAACAATATCTATGATACAACAGCACAATACTCACGTGCCTTTCGAAGTACAGGAGTTTACACGCGTTAGCTTCAGAACTTCGGTACATGTAGCACATTTTCCCTTCATAACACTCTGCTTATCATCTCATATATACACTTTTCAAGACATGGGAATTTGGCTTATACATACGCTTCTCAAAGGTAGGTGTCATCAGTCTGACATATATACTCTTCAGAGCACCAAGATGTTCTTCACACAACTGTTTTTAAAGTGCATGAGCTCAGATACTCAATACAACGAGACTTATTCTTGCCACAGCTGTATTTTTTTGAATGATGTTGCACACTAAGGAGATATACTAGAAGTCTCTCTTTCTGACAGAAAACAGATCCCATATTTAACGCATAAACTATACTTCATGTTTTTGGTCTATTCGTAGCGAGATGCACCTTCGAACTGCATAGAGAGCGGTTTGAGATCACATGATAGAACCCCTGGTCAGTTTGTATCGACAACTTGTTTCATCACTGTATCAGCATCAAAACCATACCGCGAATTGCTTCAACCTGAAGCAATTATTAGTAACTATACAAAGTACATTACACAAGTTAACTGTGCTATCGGAAGGACAAAATCATTTAAAATTACTGCAAAATCAAATCGTCTTTTATTTCTAGAGGAAATTACAAGTGATTCCTAATTGATCGAGGGGGGATTAAATCTGTTGCCGATTAACCGGGCTTTGTGTTAAAATAAGTTATCTTTAGCAAGCCCATATGTTTTGCCTGTTCGTTTGGACAGATGGTGTTATATGATTGTTTTTGGAGAAAGTCTTGTTGAGTGACCAACATACACAGCAGTCATGTGCTTCGAACATAATGGAGACCCAACACATTTCAGCAGTGGCGTTCGGGAATACTTCACTACGACATTTGATAATCTTATATGGCTTGGATGATCGCCAGACCTATTGTCCTAGGATCTTTATTTCTGGGGTAACGTGAAAGGTCTGGTGTACGATACACCCGGAAGAATTTCCTTTATCTATGCGTGAAATATAGAAAACCAGAGGTGTTTATGGCAGTACCTTTTGGTTTTATTTTATGATTTCACTTTTGGTATGTTTCTTTAACCTTTTTTTTGTTGGGGGCTGTGTTTGTTTCTGGTTCGCGCTAGCGTAGCCCATGAAAAGACCATAGGGCTACGTAAAGTCTGCCAGGACAGGACAGGACTAAGTGTGGGAAGCACTAACACATCGCCATAGGCAGAACTGATGTCGCTCCTTCACACTAGCCGTCTTGAGAACACCTCCACAGGGCGTACTTATGCCACACATCGGTATTAATTGAAAAATTATCATTAGGGCATAGAGAACTTGTGGTATACGTAAAGTCTGTCAGGAGGATCAGCCTACGCCCCCACATCATCGAAATTAGATATTAATTAATTACACCCGTGGAGAGTAAAATTATCATATCACAAACATCTCTATAGTTGCTGCGGCCGTCTGATGCCCAGAATATTTCCAAACATCCATTCTTCCACGGCAGCGTTGTTGTCAGACTTGTGTTGTAGCTAGTGGCTAAAACTTCGGACACCTTCTGTGACTTCTCTTAATATAGCAATAGTTACATTTTTATGAATAGGAAGCGTTCTCCACTTACGAGTTGCTCTTCGAGTTCTAGTATTCTATACACGCTTGCACAAGACAG